TTGTGTGTGTGTGTGTGTGTGTGTGTGTGTGGTAGAAGTATCGGTTTTTGTACTCTGTATCGGCAAATACTCAGATCCAATTATCGGTATCGTATCGGTTTGAAAAAATTGGTATCGTTGCATCCCTACATCCAAATGTCATCACGGGACTTTTGACTGCATTGCTATACAGACCCTACGCACACTGGGGAGTACCCAATTGTCATAGAAAATAACCAAAACCCGAGTCGAGTTGACTAGGTATTAGTGGAAAAGGGCTTTTACAGTCAGGGCTCTGGGCAGGGAAACAATAAGGCACCATCTGCTGAGCCAATGGTCAGAAATTCACCATGGTGACATCAAATATTACAAATGCATTCTTGTGACATACAAAAAACTAATAACTCATTTCCTGCCATACAAATATGTAATTAGTTACACATCTAGCATTAAAAATAAGCTACATTCATGGTTCTCTTTCTTCTTTTGTTCTAGTTGTTTGAGATTGACGGTCTGAGTGAAAGCACTGTGTTAAATACAGATTACATCTCTTAAAACTACACAGTAGAACCTCCTGTACAAACAGAGCACCTCAGTATTGAGAGGGTGAGAGTCCTGTTCATAAACTCGTCAGATATCCTCCTCGTTTCACCACGTTCTTCATCTTATTGCTTCAGGATGGGTTTGTGGCCTCACGAAGCACCACATCCTTTCCCAAAAACAGAACCCATAGAAATAACTTTAAACACATCCTGATTTTCCTTCCACAAGTGCATATTATGCATATATGAGCTGCACAGTTCAATACAATTCTTCCCTGGTTGTTGCTGAACAGATGCTGCAAACATTGCTGAAAGGCAGCGCTGCACTGGAGGCAGAAATAATCTAACCCGAACCCTTTCTAAAAAATGTAGAAGCAAAAACTCTCAAGATGAATAGTAAATGTTTGTTGTCAACTTTTAGGAATTTTAGGGTGACCGTGGTTCAGGGGGTTGGGAAGCGTATCTGTAACCGGAAGGTCGCCGGTTCGATCCCCGGGGTCTCTGTCCTGGTCGTTGTGTCCTTGGGCAAGACACTTCACCTACCGCCTACTGGTGTTGGCCAGAGGGGCCGATGGCGCGACATGGCAGCCTCGCCTCTGTCAGTCTGCCCCAGGGCAGCTGTGGCTACAACCGTAGCTGCCTCCACCAGTGTGTGAATGAATAGTGGCATTGTAAAACGCTTTGGGTGCCTTGAAAAGTGCTATATAAATCCAATCCATCAACTTTTAGGAATTTCCATTGATTTCCATCAAAGTTCTTGGAATTTTCTGGTTTTCAAAGAAAAATAGTTTTAAGGTCTAAACTTATTTACTTTTGGTTGAAATGTTCAAACATTTCTAAAAGCATTTTTAAACACTTACTCTGTACACAAAGAGCAAAGTTATGTGAATATGAGCAGCTCATCATCCCACCCATAAACGAACTGTTCCAAAGTTTGTTTGGGACCAGAATAAAACCACCTGTAAAGGTCCTTGTTGTGTTGGTTCATCACTGTAGTCACACCCAGATGATTCATATTGAGAATCAGATTTAACTGAATTAAAAAGTGCAGGTGTGAGTGCACTCTAAATTAAATTTGGGAAGCTAAAGTTAACCCTCTGTACGTTAGCATTGTTTTTCCACTGGAGAAACTAACATGCAAACACAAACTAGTTCATAACCAGAAACTGTTGATAAAGAAAAAGTAAAATGTACATCCAGGATAACGTGTATCCCATTTTACAGGAAAGGGTTTCACAGGATTATTTCTGCCTCAACAGCAACATTTGTTTAACTAATGTGAAGCTGTTTCGGGCTGGTCTGTGTCAATGAAATGTTTCAGTTCAATCAGTTCCAGAAGTTTTTCATTTTATATTTAAGCAGATCAAATGTTTTTATTAAAATGTCATACTCATTTCAAATTTATGCTCAGCCCAGTTCACCTCTTATCACAGCAGGAAACTTCTATGCTTTGCACCAAACTAATGTTGCATATAAATGAGTTTAAATTAATGTTCCAAAAAACCACAACAAACTCGAGCCTCACAGCATCGATCTAAGGAGCGTAACCAAGGAAGACTTTCAAGACATTTCCATATATTGTGCAGCAGGAGGCCAGAGAGATGAGTTCTTTCAGAGTCCTGAAACAGGCTCCTGCATTTATAACAACTGGTTGTGCAAGTACACCATCTTCTTCTAGTCTTGCTACAGATTAAACATGACTTCCTGCACTGACAGGAAGCTGAAGGGGGTAACTCTGAGTCCACATGGGAGTATCATACAAACGATATTCCGGTAGAAGAAAAGAGAACAGACAGAAAGTTGAAAAATATTTTCAAAATAGGGAAAAATGGAAACAATGTGTAGAAGGAGACGATGGGTATACAGGTAATGTTGTAGAAAGGAGCAAAGGAGGAAAAACTAAGAGAAGAAGAGATGATCTACAGTCAGAGACAGACTTGTTGCTCTAGCTAGAGATGGACAAAATGGCTGAGGTGTCTTTAGCCTTATCAAAGAAGATGGACGTCTCATTGGCCCCCTTGAGTTTGACCTGGGGAGGTCCTGGAGAGCCTTGGGCTCCGGTTGGCTGACACTCCTGACAGCAGCAGCAGCAGCAGTCCATAAAGGCTTGGCCAAGAGCCTGAAATGCAGACGATGCACAGCTTTGGTAAGTGACAACTATATGTACAAAATCAAACACAATACTCCAGTGGACCAATATGCGATGAATGCAACCTTTTCAACCATGTGCCATTTGTCTAAATGGGTAATGGACAGCAGGTGGTGAATTCTCTGCTTGGAAAAAGGCTTCAGTTGTACTGAAAACACCTTATAGCTCGGTGGCAACCTACCTTACACAGGCACAGCAGCAGCACCGGCGTCACTGATGACTTGAAGAACAACAGGAAGTGATGTAACAGCACCAGCATGGTGGCGGTGTCTTCGGAGATGGTGATGTGCGTGTAGGCCAGCGTGATGTTGCAGACATGCTCGGGGAGAGCACACACGCCATACACGACAGCTAGAGCGAGTAGAGTGCAGTTCAGCTGTCGCTCCAAGGTTTGGTGTTGTTGACGCTTCTGGTTGGAGCGTTCGTCGAGGTTACGCTGCTTTTGGGTGGCGCTGGAGTCGCTGTTGACATTCCGGGTGGCCATTTGGCAAAGGATGGTGAAGAGGACAGGGAGGCAGAAGTAGCAGCCAAAACACCACCACATACGACCCTGAAGCACAGAGGTTAAAACAGTAAAAGCTGAAGGAGGAGAACTTTGGGAACATTCTGGTTTTGTCTGGGCAAAAAAAAAGCCACAACAGCTTTTCTCCACACCTAAATAGCCCTTTCAGGAACTCAGATCTTACTGCTTTTACCTAAAATGTTCGAGACAAACCCATGATATCTCTGTCCTTACTAAATCCTTACTCATTAATTCAATAAACCAGAAAACAAACAGAAATGCTTCATGTTCTTTACTTTCATTTGAGCTCCTGCTGGTGCTCTTTTGACGGTGTCCAATTGGTGTCCATTTCTTCAGTGCTAGTGTCCACAACATGTGGACGGCCACCAGTTAAAGGGAGAAGCACCATTATATAAGATCTAGGTCCAGATTTACATGTTCCATGTCACCTAATCATCACGCGGATACTATGTGTTGGTGAGTTCAGTGCGTACGTCTGCTTTGGTCTCACCTGGTGATACCTGAGCAGCAGGGAGTGAAGGGAATCAGGCAGGTAGAGGGACAGAGGAGAGGAGGGCGTGATGGTGCAAGAGTCGACCAGCCGGCCGGTGGATGGAGACACGGCCTGGCTGAGCTGCCATAGGAAGATTTCAGGGCTGGACAGCAGCAGAGCAGAGAGCCACACCAGCACCATCTTCATCAGCACTGAGCGACAGCGCTCCACCCGCCGAGCCTTTGGCTGGGAGGACGAGGTGGCAGCGTGGAAGCGATCGATACCCAGAGCACACAAAGTGAAGGAGGTGATGCCCAGAGACACAACCTGCAGGGAAGAGGAGGGTAACAACAGCAGTAAGTCAATGTGGCAGAGAAGGAAACTGTGCCAAAAAGTAAAAGTTAAACAGTTAACAGTAAAACTGATAAATCCTCTTTTATTGAGTTCATGTTGCTCTTTCTGAAATCAGTCTATTACCTTATCTCACGTAGCTCACCTGATGACAAAGATTCAGTATGTCACATGTTCAAGTCCATATCATAAATATATATGATGAGAGGCATGGTTACTATGACATCACCAATAGGCTATGAAGCCTCAAGCTGAGTGTTTTGATTGTCTCCATCCTGCAAACAAGCTAACTGGTCCTAATGTTGAAACAGAGGACAATGCATGCTCAGTGGCTAATGACTTCTCATGGACCATAACCAACAGATCATCTCTTCTAAATCTAACACTGATCATAATGAACAGCATCAGTATTCTGTTTCATTTAGTCACCCTGGAATTGTCAATAGACCCCATTAATTAAAAATGTTTACTGAGGTCAAAGTGTAAGACAGCTGAGGATTGTTTTCCCATATGCTTCTATACAAAAGAGTCTTTTTATTAATGTTATACTGTTAATATATCTGTGTGGAGTTTGCATGTTCTCCCCGCGTTTGCGGTGGTTCTCTTCGGGTACTCTGGCTTCCTCCCACAGTCCAAAGACATGTAGCTATTGGGGTCAATTGGTGATGTTAAACTGCCCATAGGTGTAAATGTGAGTGTCTGTGTCATTTTTAAAAACTGAAGAAAAAAAGTTCGGTGGTTTGTTAGATTTTTCAGATGGAAACACGATGGCATCTCTGTGCCTCTGTGATGTGAGTAGCATAGATTTGAACAATGAGTGTACCTACAACAGCAATCAGTACCTCCAAAGCTGCTTGATTCTATAGACGATGGACAGAGAGCCGGCAGTGTCGGCCGTAGGAAGGCACTTAATCAAGTTTTTTTTGTTTAACTGCAAGCTGTAGCAGGAAGTTGTAGAGCAAATCTTAACCACACTGTTTCCTATGACCATTCCAACCATTTTCTGTGTGATGGACCAAAAAACTGATACTCTAGTAGTGTAATATATGTAATATGCAGTTGTTTGGGTGTTTCAAAGAGCCAGCGAGCACATTTCAGTGTGGCTGTCCTGCAGCACCATCTTTAATTAACAAATCATT